TATGTTGGGTTGTCAACAAAGTAGTCTTCCATTAAACGTGCCTCACCTTGCTCACGTTCTCAATCACAATACCTCCTTCTTGCTTTGGGAGGATTTATTGTGAGCAACCCATATCTCCTTCTACCATCATGTGCAAGTGTCCATCTATTAAGTGGATGACTCTCCAACCTTTCTTGAGCACGTGGATTAAACTTCCCAATTCCTTCCATAATGGAGTTGAACTTTCGAATTTGATTCTGACTCCCGGCACGATAAGGTAAAGCTTTCAATTATGAATTACGAAACTTGTCATAAAAGTTGTTGATGAAATGTCGTAAACAATACCTTTGAAATTAAAAAAAAATGTAAGTTAATGAAGCAAGTTATTGAAATGTCCTAAAAGAATAGTTAAAGAAATATAACAATACCTATGAAAACCATGTGACTCTAACCATGGAGATCCATGCTCATTGACAGCCTTAATAATTCCACCATGACGATCAGATATTAGACATATGCCTTCACGGTCTTTCACCACATGATTCTTGACATGATAAAGGAACCAATCCCAAGTATCATAAGATTCATTTTCTACAATAGCAAATGCAAGTGGCAAAATTTGATTATTGCCATCAACTCCCATTGCAATTAGCATATTACCCTTGTATTTACCATACAAGTGTGTACCATCAATGCTAATCACTGGTCGACAATAGTGAAACCCTTTGATAGAGGGAGCAATGGCCCAAAAAACACGCCTAAATTCAACTTCATCCATATCGTTCGATCTTGAAACACACCATTCAACTATAGTTTCTGGATTGAACTTTTGGAGTGCGCCTATATATTTTGGTAAAGCAACATAAGATTCTTCCCAGTTTCCAAACACATGTTCAATTGCTTTTTTCTTTCCAACCCAAACCTTCTTATATGAAGGAGTATAGCCCAACTTTTCAACTATTTCAGCTATCAAAGTCGAAATACTAATAGAAGGTTGCTCTTTTATAAGGTGTCTAGTTTCCATAGCAATTAAGCTTGCATCTAGGTTCGGATGGTCTAGAGAAAGCTTAGAGTGTAAACAAGTGTGCGGACCGGTATACGTTGTGATTTCAAAATAACCAATATGTTTACGTTTACTTGCATGAAGCTTCCATCTGCAACCAGATTTTAAGTACAACTTGCATCTTAGACTCCAAATAGTTGGGCGTGACTTAATGACCTCAAATTGTCTATGTGTCCTAATGTTATGGATCTTGATTGCTATAACAAGTTCCTCTTTATCCTTGAAAGAATCTTTTCCCAACTCTCGGGTAAAATCATTCTTACTCGTTGATTGTGTCATAATCCAATTTTCATCAATAGTCAAATTTGTTCCTTCCATATTAGTAAAAGCCGAAGGTAATTCAACATTATTGTAAAAAGATGCTTCATCATCATCTTCATCTCCAATTCCATCTTCCAATATTTCATTTAACTTAACAATATTGTCTATATTCATCACATTAGTCACAACAACAGCTTGAGAAATTATAGAAAAATTCTCACTGTCAATCATGTCTATAATAGAATTCATCTACAAACAAATAAAAACAAGTAAAATTTGATCAAAAAATGATCATATGAATTTGTGATAACAAGAAAAAAGAAATATAATAACATTATTGCAATCAATTCCATCAAAGAAAAAAAAACAAGTTGTGACGATAGAGGAGGGTTCCAGAAAAATAAGTTGTAACATTATTACAATCAATTCCATTCACAAAAGCAAAATAACATTATTACAATCAATTCCATTCAAAAAAGCAAAATAATCAAAACATAAATTGATCAAAGCAATAATTCATCCTAACTAGAAGAAAAATCGAGACAAATAAGATTAGAGAAGCAAAAAGCAATCATAAACTTAACAATTAGAATCCATAAACAAATAGAAAACTTAAGAATCAGAAACAAAATCGATAATTTTGCATACCTTGCAGGTTGCCGGCGAAGAGGGAGGAGACGCAGACAGCCGGCGACGATGGAGGAGGTGCAGGTGGTCGGCGATGGTGGACGATGCTATGACAGAACTGAAGGTGGAGCCCTAGTTGGGTTTACGATTTTTTTTCCTGATCATTCCCGTAATCGAGTTCCAATGTTCGAGGGACAAAAAAGTGTTTTTTTTAAAAAAAAAAAAAAAACAATAACATTAGTATTAAAATTAAGATCATACTATTTTGATAAATATTTTTGAAACAACACTAATATGGTAAATATTTTTTTCCATTGACACTATTATGGTTAAAAACTTCAAAATTGTGCCCCTCTACTATTACCTATTATTTATGTATTTTTTTATTGACATGAGAAAAAAAAACATATTATTTCTTTTTTACTTCTAAAATCAAATAAATAAGTAATAAAAATATATCATTTTTTGATGCCCACGCCAAGTTTTTTTTTGAACATCGATCATGCGGGAAAATTGTAGATACATATAAAAGACTGTTAAATTTGAGGATTTTCTTGTTTAAACCAATTTTTTTTGCAAATAGACATACAACCTTTCCCAAATTTTCTATTTTACTTGTTTATCATAAGTTAACCTGCAAATCGGATGATATAAAAAACAAATGAGAAAAAAAATTGTATTTTTAACTGGGAAAATATTTTTTTAGGCTTAAACCGAAAAAACATGAAAATTCTAGAGACTTTCTTTTATAAAATCGACCTGATTATTTAAATTTAACCAAAAGCACAGGTCATTTAGAATTAGAACAAATAAAAATACATTTTTCTCAAATAAGTTATTGTGCAAACATAGACAAAACTGTAAAATTGATCCTTGTGGTTTGCAAAAAACTTTGAATGGGATCCAAAAAGTTTTCAACTTGCATTGAAGGTCCAAAATCAAAAAATTTCTTTGATTTTAATCCTTGAAAAGTTAAAAGGGTTATTTTGCCCTTATTATTTATTTTTAACATTTTCTTTATTTGTTTTAATTGTTTTATTATTAAAAAGAAAGCAAAAGAAAAGAAAAATAGGACGGGTCCACCCCACCTGATCTCTCTCTCTCACACACACACACACACACATATATATATATATATATATATATATATACACACATGACCTTTTCTATTCATATCGTCTTCCCCACCCTTCATCTTCAACCCATCTTGCTGCATCTTCCACAAATCAGAGACACAACATCACAAATACTTCACTCAGTGAAGAATTTTCAATTTGTTCACCTTATGCTTCTTCCCCTTGAGTTTCTTCTCTGAGATCGATTAAGACCAAATTGGTGATTCTAGTTCTGATTTAGAGCCCAAGTCGTAACCCTAGCCCTTGCCAAAGTCTGATAGGGTCAATACAGAAGAAATCGGTCGTTAATAGATGGTTATCGGTGTCCGAATCAGCTTCTGATCGTAGGGTATCGGGATCGTCTAAGATGGGTCCTGGTTCTCATTGAAGGTTAGTGTTAAAACTGTAAAATTGTAAAGTTTTTTTTAGAGAGTCATGTTCTTATCGCCATCGACCCGGGCAGTTCACGCACCCCCAATCATATCGTCTCCACCACCACATCTCGTCGAATCCAGCAGACGTCGAATCCAAAGAAGAATTCCAACATAGTTTGGGCTTGACTGCCATGGATATTGTAAATTTAAGATTGAAACAGGGGAGGGTGGGTTTTGTTTTTTTGAGTTGCAGTTGCTTTTCAATTGACCCAGATGAAGAAATTTGAAACTTCAGAAGAAAATATTTGATATAATGGTAGCGAATTTCAGTTCTTGTTTCGAGTTAAAGATGAAACTAACCTTCAAAATGAGACTATGAAATTGATCGGACAAATTGGAAGGAAGTGAATCAGGGTTGAGGAAGACGACTTGATGAGAGAGAGAGAGAGAGAGAGAGAGAAATCGGGTGGGGTGGACTTGCTTTCTTTTTTTCTTTTCTTTTGCTTTCTTTTTAATAATAAAACAATTAAAACAAATAAATAAAATGTGAAAAATAAATAATAAGGGCAAAATAATCCTTTCAAATTTTCAAGGACCAAAACCAACAAAAATTATTGATTTTAGATCTTCCATCGCTATTAAAAACTCTTTGCAAACCACAAAGACAAATTTTGAAGTTTTGTTTACAAACATATAATAACATTCATTCTTTTTAGATATGTGATTCGATTATGTTTCTTGTCTCCATTGGACCACCAGAGCAAAAAGAACTCTATTTTTCGTATAAAGAATGACAAGATTATTATTAATTTACTCCACACTCTACAATGTTATTATATAATAACAAACAAACCATAATTAAACTGAAATGCTAGAAGCAAACACAAAAACTCTTCAACGAGAGCAAACACAAAGACAAATTTTGAAGTTTTGTTTACAAACATATAATAACATTCATTCTTTTTAGATATGCGATTCGATTATGTTTCTTGTCTCCATTGGACCACAAGAGCAAAAAGAACTCTATTTTTCGTATAAAGAATGACAAGATTATTATTAATTTACTCCACACACTACAATCTTATTATATAATAACAAACAAACCATAATTAAACTGAAATGCTAGAAGCAAACACAAAAACTCTTCAACGAGAGCAAACACAAAGACAAATTTTGAAGTTTTGTTTACAAACATATAATAACATTCATTCTTTTTAGATATGCGATTCGATTATGTTTCTTGTCTCCATTGGACCACGAGAGCAAAAAGAACTCTATTTTTCGTATAAAGAATGACAAGATTATTATTAATTTACTCCACACACTACAATCTTATTATATAATAACAAACAAACCATAATTAAACTGAGATGCTAGAAGCAAACACAAAAACTCTTCAAATATTAAGCATATAGTGTCTTTTATAACTCGATAGCAACTCAAAAATGCTTCATTTAATCAAAAAATTCATCCAACTATTCAATTCAAACATCAAATTGTTCCATTGAAACAAGCAAATTTCACTATATCACTTTCCACTACTTTGTCTCCCGAAAACAAATTTCACTATATCACTTTCCACTACTTTGTCTCCCGAAATCGCGAAATCTGCGAAAATATAAAATCCCACCCCCTTTGCGGAGCCGATTTCGGCGTGGACCCCGCTTCATTTCCCTCCAACTGACCATCAAACTCTCGCCAAAACTTAATCACATGAAGAGTCTCTTCCTCCGTTGACCTTTGAACCACAATCTTCGCACCATAACCTTTATCCCTCATTTCAAGACAAATCTGCAACGGATCATTCGCCGCAAGAAACAACATATACAACCACCCTCTATCCGACAACAAATTATCCGCCACCAGCAAAATCCTATCAATCACACTTCTTCCATTTTCACCCCCTGCCCACGCCGCCGACAACCCTCCGCCGCCCACCTCCTCCTCGGGCGTCGGCACGTACGGCGGGTTAACCACCATGACATCCACCATCCCCGCCAGGCGTTTCTCGAGCCCGGAGGTGATGTTGGTTGTCAGGATCTCTGCGTGGACCCCGTGTGCTTCGAGGGTTTCGCGTGTCACGTTTGTGGCGTGGGGGTTGACGTCGGTTGCGAAAAAATGAGGGGAGTGGGAGTTTGATTCGGATTTAAGGATAAGGGCAAGGCTTGTGATGATGTAGCCACTACCGCAACCGATTTCCATGCAAATTGTTGGGCGGTGGTTTATTAATTTTTTGCGGTCGGCTAGTAGCGCGTCTACCAACGCGTATGAGTCATCGCATGGCGCGTAGACTTGCGGGTGTGAGCTCACGAGACGGATTTGGGCGATTCGTGGGGGTATTTTTGTCATTTGTCTGAAATTAGTTGAAGGATATGGATGAACATAACAATATTACCATACTACATATGAAATTATAGGAAAATAAAATAAAAAGTGAGGTAAACAGAGAAATGAAGGGGGGATGAATGGCACTTTTTTTTCCTTAAAGAGTTCATCATGTGTCAAAATCACAAGAAGAACATCCAAGCTTTAATTTTGACGTTACAGAATTTGATTATTTTGCTTAAATTGTTACTTCGAAAAGAGATGCACCAAGGAGGAGTGCATTATATAATTCTATGACATTAACCTAATTTTCCTTCTTTTGCAATAATTTGTGTAGCATTCTTTTGTGCAATGATGATTTTGCGAGTTATATCTTATTTACTGATTAAGAATGAGAGAATTTAAGCGCAAATCAGCTAACATTTGATCAAAATGCTCAGAATAACAAAGATTACACAACAGCTATAACCTGTGAAGCAATTCCTGGTGTTCGTATCATGAAAAAAAACAGGAAGATATTAATCATTGGGGAGACATGAATTAAGGATCTAACAATTGCATAAACGTACCAAAATGACCATATTAATGCTTCATACGAAATTGGGCGCTGGAATTCTACGGATTGAAAATAAAGTTACCTTGAATGAACCTAATAGAGGACCTCTGCCGGAAATTAGCTTCGTCCCTGTGCCATGAAGCGAAGGATTTTGCCGGAGAATCGGAAAGTACGCCGGAGAAAAGGAATATGGGCGAATTAAATGAGAATAAAGTGATAAACAGAGAAATGAGCGGGGAAGGAGTTGTTCTGTTGAATCGGGTTCAGTTGATCCGTTTCATGAAGCGGATTTTCAACCCACTGATAATGGGTTGGATTGAGATTGACCCATTTGAATTTTCATCTGATGGCGGCGAAATGATTTGTTATTTATTGGCTGAATCTGTTTGGGGTTTGGACGATTTGAACGTTAGTTAAATCGCTAAGCAATTTGGATATTTTTGAAGATCAAATCAAATCAGCATAAGGCTCTATTGAATTTGGATTCTTCTGGTTATCAAAAATAAGCAATCAATTATTAAAGGGTGATTTTATCCTTTAAATAAAAGATGATGATTTTAAAAGTAATTATAAAAAACATGGTGGAACTAGTAGGTGTCTCAAGGGATCCCACGCCACTATTTGATTTCGTATACAAAGAGTAAATATGTTTTTTTAGTATTGTACGAAAATTACTGCGTAACTACTATTAGGTCCAAGTCCAACATAGATAAATATCAGAATTTTTCTGTACCATTACTATTAGACAGTTATTGGTTTCGCCATTGTGAAAAATATATTTTGAATAACATGTTGTGTCGTGTCGGATCAAAGACATTAAATGAGTTGAGAGGGCTTAACCCTAACTCAACCCGTTTAATTAGTGTGTCATGTCGTGTCACCTGTTTACTTTTTTCAGATTAAGGTTTAGACCTTATAAACATGTTGTGTCATATCTACTTGAAACATTTTTAAAAAGTTGGAAAGTAGGAGAAGGGGAGGCGAAAAGAAAAAAGTGAAACGCTGAAGTTGAGAGGTGGAATGACAAAATTCATTGTAAGTTTAGAATATAAAATGTAAAGAGTTAGAGTTCGGAAGCAAAAATGATAGGTGGTAATGAGTTGTGAAATAAGTCACTTTGAAAGTTTGAAGCACTTTTAGACTTTTCGTTTCTCCTAATCGGATTTACCTTCTCCCATTCCAAATTTCATTTTAATTTAATTTCTTGAGTACAAGTCTATAATATATAATATATTTATAGAAATATAAAAATTATAAAAATGTTATATATAATTAAACAGGACATATTTGAGTCATCTTCGAGTTAAAAGTTTTGATCATAACCCAACGCATTTAATTTCAATGCCACGTCGTATCAACCCGTTTAATTAAACGTGTTAAAATCTCTTATCCAAACCCACTAATTTCATATCGGGTTGTTGTGTCGTGTGAGGTTTCATCAGGTTTTGTCATCATAAGTCAATTGAGATGGAGATTAAGTCGACGAGAGAGAGGTTATTCCAACAAGAGCATAGACGAAGTCTCTTGAAAAGAAGGGAGCGGGAATCGATGTTGTATGATGTTAGTAACATAATAGAATCGAGAAGATAAGCCATTCATCATGTAAATGACAAGATGCTTGTCGAGCAACTTAGAATCGGCATCAATGATCTCTAGTAAATAGGCTATGTTCTCGAGTTGCAGACCAACCCTACTGATCCTACCCACAACTCTAACAATGTTAGTGTCGGTGTTGGTGCCACTGTTAATGCAAGTGCACGTGTCACTTGGTAATGGTTGTGACAAGGTAAAGGGATAGGTGATGGTGGTGTTTCTTGATGACTCTTATTCCACGATAGCTAAAGCTCCTCAACAACACCATCAAAATACCAATGTGGGTTGCCTTGGTCAGCCTCCCCTTTATCTGTACCGCAAAGGTTTCACCAGCTGAATCAAAAGAATTCCATATATTAAAAAAAATAAACCACAAGCCTCAAGTATTGATGGAACTTGTGATATACTTTAAAATATTGATTTGTAAAAAAAAAGTATATATGGCATGGTTTTATTGGAAAAATTAGGAATGATTAAACCGTAAAGAGGATTTAAACATCAAGTCAACTGATATACCGACACAAACTTGATCGTGGTCTAGGTAGTCACGGAAAACCTTTGTGCACACCACCCGACATTTTGTGGTTTTCCGTGTTCATGGTCAATTGTGGTGCACACAACGAAGGGCAACGACCAATAGGGAAAGAGGAGTAATAGTGCATGCTTTAGAAGGAAAAAGATAATCAAAATTTTCAAAATTTGCTGGTTCGGTCCTTAGATTTTCACATGTTAACAAAACTTACCCCAATTTCTATTGTATTTTTGAATTAAAAAAATAAAATAAAAACAATGATGAGAAGTAGAGTGCTAGTGGAGAGTATCTCATAGGTTTAATGATAGTGGTGATAATATAACACCCATCACGATGCCCACCACTTCATTAGTTAGTGATGGGTATAATGGATGGTCTCATCTTATCTTTTATTCCTATTAATTAATAACATTTAAAGACATTTATCATTATTGCACATAGATAAGAGGATATATAAGAACAAAAGTAAAGGAATATTTAATTTCTCATAAAAAAAAAATTTCAACCATAAAACTAAACAAACCATAGTGTTTATGTTTATTTTTGTCTATGTATGAAAAAAAAAAAATTGGAAGTTAACAATTCGATTATAACGTTTCATTAACAATAACTTTGGTCTGTCCTTTTAATTTTCAAAGATATGTGCATAGTAAAGACAGTCCTTAACGAACTACTGTTTTCTCAAAACCAATGCTCAATTTACAAGATTTTGTTGTAGACGATAAATGCATCCCCCACAAACTTCATTTTTGGTAAACTCATGTCCCGAAACAAGTAAAACATACTTTGTCTAGTTTATCATCAATACTTGTACATTAGGCTTCTTTCACGGCATTCTTTCTACTTTATGTTGAGGTAAACGCATTTTTATTTTCAGCACACTTTGCAAAATATGATATAGAAAAATATAACATGAATTTTCCTGAGGTGAATCCAAACCCAAAATAACAAAATTTCAACATACTTTACTTTGTCCCTAAAAACAAGTTCTAACTCATCCACAACTAAAACCAAATACCAATAATCATGTAAACATGAGACACAACACAACCTACCACCAACTCATCCACAACAAGACATCATCACCAAATACTTACAACTATACAAAAATGGAATCAGCATCAGACACCCAAAAATTGTGTTAAACTTTTTTTTTTCTTCTGCTCAAATGACAAATGTTTACATGCGTATCAACCCTCAACCCAACCACACTTCTTCTCATCTTTCAACGAATCACCTCCTGCCATGTCATCAACACCAACTTTCCCTTCCAACACTTCACATTTTTCATCATTCCCATTTTCTTTCGCCGAGCTTTCAACCGTTTTTTTTCTTTTTTCACCTACTATTTTTCTTAAACAGCAATCATTTTTCAAAGGTGTATTTGTGTTTGATAACTCTTTTTCAACAAAAACTGGCCTAACCAATTTCTTACGTTTGCTACAAGATTTTTTGGATTCATCATCAAGATTTTTGTTTATTTTCTTGCGACGTTTAAAATCCACAACTCTTGTTTCTTCAACAACTGATTCATCATCACCTTCTTCAAATTGTATAGATTTTTTTGTATTTGGAAGAAGATCATAATCTACAATCTTTTTGGGTCTTATATTATCATCATCATCATCATCATCATGTTTGAAACTCGATTGTCTTTTTCCACTTCTCTTTATTGGGCTACTCACAATCTTCTCCAACATTTTCATCACTTTGTTAACTGATGCATCCAGCTCATCATCTTTTTCATCTCTTTCATGTTCTTCTTCATTAAAAACTACTTCTGGAGCTTTAGTTAATCGATCAAAAACACTAACTTTACGCATCTTTTTTTGGCTTCTCAAAAATCCAACATCTGAACCTTTCTTTTCTGACTCATGATAATGATATGAAGCTGTTTCGCTTTTAAAATCTGGATAAAATGGAGGATGGTTATCAATATCAACAGGATTCCCAGGGGTAAAATAGGAATGTTTATGACAAAATTCAGGGACTTCAGGATCATAATAAGGTCTGTGACAAAAATCAGGAACTTCAGGATTGTAAGGGGTATGCAGTGTAATCACTGAAGGATCACCAGATGTCAAATAAGGAAGACAAGATTCATATGTGTTTCCAATGTTAAAAGGGTGTTGAAATTGCTCTGATGATACTTGAGGAACAGGGATAAAATCGGAATTATTTTGGTTAATGTGAGATAAAGAAGTAACATTAACATCCCCAAAACCAAAATCTTCATCATAATCTGTCCCTCTTGGTTCATACTGTGGGTGTTGTTCAGTCAATGTTCTTTCTTCTCTTTCCACTCTTTCATTATGACCAAAATACCCTCGATCAAAACTACTTATAACATTATATTCATCTTGTATCCTATTATACTTATAGCCCTGATCATCTATTTCTTTAACTTCACCTTCTCTAACCCTATCTCTAATGGTATTCCTATAATCACCAAATCTTCTAGCATCTCCCTCTGAGGGCTTTTTAGGGATTCTTTTGGAGTGGAATAGAGTTACAAGTTTATATACCTGAAAGTTTTGAAAATTAAGCATATGAAGATATTTCTAGAATACATTAATATGTGAGCATAAAAGATACCTGATCTTTTGATAACCCAAAATTGAACTTCTTCCATGAGAAGTAATTTTCTTTAATAGCAACTTTGAACTCATGTTCAGAAAGAGGATTGCATTTCCACACAGGGGCAAAACGAACCTGCATAATAAATAAAATCTAGTGGAAGTAAAAATAAGAGATAAAGAATCATAATTGTTAGAGCCTTTGTGATTCTTGAATGCTTACATAACAAAAGATTTAAACTTTGTGAGCCTTGTTTAGATCATACAATCATATCATACAAATAATGAAATAGAAACACATACCTGAGCAGGAAAGCTTTTTCCTGATGATTTGAATGCATTAGGTTCAATGTCGATTTCACCATTAGAAGTAGCACGAAACACTCCATGAAGTTGCCTCCTCTCAAACTCAAAAAGAAACAGAATCATTCCTTTTTTCACATTCAACACAAAATTAGACTGAGCTAAAGGTAGCCCAAGCAACTTACGTTGAAAACACTCTTTCTTTGTTCCAGCATTTGACATAAATATTGCACCATAGCTTGGAACATCTCCTGGATCAGTTTTACCTTTATACCCCATTTATCCTCTGCAAACTGCCAAGATATTCAATAATGGAAACACCATGGCATGTCAAGTAGTAGTGTAGAAAACTAGGAAAAGATTCCAAAAAACCAAGTTCTTGAATCTAGAAAACACAAATAGTCAAATAGACATGTGTGTGGTTAATTATGGTTCTGTATGTAGGAGTAACAAAAGTATGAATGCCATCAAGAAAGCAAGTGATACAAAAGCTAGAGAAAATGAGGAATAACCTCAATCATAGTCAATCTAAATGATCATCAATAGGCAACCAAATCATACTGTGATTTTGTGTCTTGCACATATGTGAAGCATTTGATCAGAGGGACCTTAAGAAGTACCATGGTAATGCATAATTTGTATACATAACTATGTACAAAACAAATATTCCCTCTGTCTCATAAAAATGCAACACATTGAATGTTGATTGTCCAAGAAAATACTCCTTTTTTGTTCTTTCATGGATGTGCATCTAGATTGACTGTAGTGATAAGAAGTAAGAGCAACCATGTTGAAATGTTTGGAAAAAACATATATTGATTTATTTTTTTGGATCATTAAGGTTGAGATAACTATAATTAGATACCCTGTAACATAGTTGATTGAAACTATTTACTGAAATATGTGTTAAACTATATAATAAACCCTAACTACAATCAATCAGGTTAGTGATTCTGATTATTCATGTCAATTGGCAATCCTCAGAAAATACACATTCAAACACCCTCTTAGAATTTGAAATGATCGACAGTTTTGCATTATTTGTAAAGTTTTCAAGACATCTTAGTGGTGTTTCTAATTCTATGTGCCTTATCAGTGTAATACTTCGACATAAATGATCAAATTCAGACAATGAGTTGATAAACGCAGGAGTTAGATAACTATACAATAATCGCAATGATTTTGAATACAAAGAATCAGAAAATCATAATTAGGACATATTTCTATCAAAACACTAAAAACAGTTCATGTCGCAAATAAAAGAAGAGAAAATGTACTTCTTAAATAACAACTCAATCTACGAACCGAGGTAGTGTAATAAGCAACTTCCACGGCAAATGAGCAACCATTGATAGAAAAAGAAGAGATAATACCGGGTGAAGCGGGGAAAATTAAGCTCAGTATCATAAAAACCTATTAGAACCCGACGCACAGCCAGAAATCTAGTAATCGTCAGCTAGGATTTAACTAAGCATGTAGCAAATGACGAAATGGGGAAAAATAGCAAAAGATAAGTCGAAAATCAAGCCATCATGCAAATTTAAACCTAAAAAACTCTAATCTCGATCTTCAATCGGAAATGGAATACAATGTAAATACGACACTGATGATTCGATCAACAAATTAGTAAGAGAATTAGGGTTTTCACCGATTAAAAAAGGCGAAGACGCTGCCAGAAGTTTGTGCTTGAGTTTACGAAAATTCTGGAAACCGTATCGTCTGCACCCTTAAATACGTGAAGGAAGAAGGGGCGAAACGATTGGATCGAATGTAAATGAGTGAATCCGTTTGATGTAGAAATGAGGAAACAGACAAAACAAACAAAAAGTTAATGACATAATCGTCCATCAATTAGGATATAACAAGGATATTCAAGAATTTATCACTTTACACAAAATAACCCATCTTTTGCATCTTACAAAAATTAACCATTGAATAAGAAATATGTTATTTTAGATCCGCGATTTGATTTGTACTCACCCGTTAAAGGGTCTTCTGTTTAAAAGAAATCTGAAATGTGGTACCCATTACATTCGGGAATATCATTTTAGCTTCTCTCCACAACAACCAACATGATTTAGATGCATAAGAGATTCTTATGTAGGATTTAGTTTTTTCTAGCTTGCACATCTTCGCTGCATCTATCACAAGATTAAATTTGAAAAAACAATAGTATTAAACGAGAGCCTTTGTATGGAATCCAAAGAACTTGTCCTAAACGGATATGGTTTTCATTTCAAATACATAATATGCATTTGTTTCTCGGTAGTTATACTTCAATGAACATGTCTGGAATGATTACAAAAGTCTGAAATCCAAAAAAAAAAAAAAAAAAAAAAAAAAAAAAAAAAAAAAACATGTCTGAAAGAAAACAATGTTTTGAATACAATAAACATATTCAAATTACATCACTCAGTTTTTGTTTTACTAACAATTAGCCAACCCTATGTTAATTAGTATTAACTTAATATACGGACTAAAATGACAAGAATTATATGGATACGGGGTTAGTTTATAACATATGAAGTGTTAACCAAGTATATAGGTCAACTAGCAACTTAGTTGAAAGAATAAACTTAGGATGGGATTTTAGTTATCAAAACTCTTAAACTAGTTGAATAAGCTTATCATTGTCCTCGTTAACCGATTAACGATAAAAAAGGAAAGAGGAAGCTCTGGATGGTTATTTCTTCATATCTAAGGAGATTGATGTTCAGAGTGTTATCTAATGAATTAAATATATGTTTTCACCATTGAAGCATTGCAAGATATAAAACTACTTCGTCTATACTCTTAGATCGAGTTAGGGTTTGGAACTCAATCCAAATTCAAAGATTGAGTGAAATTAAGTTGTGAAATCAATTTCCAAGTTCAATATAACCTTCAACCCCTTAAGATCAAGTCTATATAGTTCAAGATTATGTTCTTAAAAATTGCTTCTTGGTTTTTCTTTTGTGCTTGAATTTCATTTTCTTGATTTGATGATCACTTAGTTGTCAACAAGACTCTTTTTTTCTATGAACTTTGTTATTGATACAGTCGACAGATCATTCTTTCATACCATGTATTGCACATCCTTAGCATGCAACTCCCACGTGACTAAATAAATTAACTGATGATTTTCTACAAAGATAACTTATGGAATTTTTTCTAGAGCTATCTAAGAAATTTAGAATTTGGAATGTACACATGAAACCACAAAAATAACACCATTAAATATATAAGTATTCGCACTTTTTTCTTGTCATGTTCGAAATTTTAAACTACGTTGGTCAAAAATGTACCAGATAAAAAAACATCAAAATAAGCAATTTTCAAATATGCTCCATATAAAAAAATCAGCATAAAATTTAGAAGCATTAGAAGATTTTTTTTTTAAACAACTTTATTTGAGAAATTATTAGTGATCTTCATAAAATTCATATTTTTTTAAAAAAGATGGCCCTTCATAATTTCTTGAGAAAATATTGTTATATTATGATATTGATTACATAATATGGTATTTAGGTGAATATCGGTAGAAAGTGTTGTTCCAACAAAAACAATGCATAAATCAAAAGAAAAACAATAACTAACCTTCTATATTTGAGATTCTCGTTCTTGCCCTTTGGACCCAAAATCAAACAATGAGAACAACCAAGCAATGAAAGTAAATATGAAACTAACCTTCTATATTTGAGATTCCTGTTCTTGCCTTTTGGACCCAAAATCAAACAATGAGAACAACCAAGCAATGAAATTAAATAGGAAACAAACAATAGATTTACGTGGTTCGACAAGATTGCTTACATCCACACTAGAATAGATACTCTTTTTTGTATTAGGTTAAGAGATTGACCTCGCTTTTCCCTCTGCAACATACGTAATGTTTTTCTGTAACGCCCGTAGATCCGGGCTAGTCAATTTAGAGGTAATAGGGGTCGAAAATAACTTTTCGACAAAAGATTATTTAGAATAAATAATCTTAAACAAGTTGTAGAATATGTCACAAGGTTTCCGTACATATAAAGAGCGTCGAAACCGGAGTTATAACGAAGAAGTTACGACCCGTCGAAGTTTCACGACGGAACTGGCACAGCACCGGAAAGCGTAAATAGTGATTTTACGATGGAGGACTTTTTAGCCTTAGTAATCTAAACCAAAGTTGTAGTATATGTTAAACCGATAACATCCATAAAAAAACGCCCAAATATGACTTTGTATGAGGAAGTTATGATTTTTCTAAGATTCGACTTAGCAGTGCACGGCCCGAAACTCGAATTTTAGTTCGAGCAGTTTTTGGCTTACGCAACCTAAATGAGAGTTGAAGATCTCATTAATAGGAAATCAACGGTAAAAAGACAGACAAAAACAGAGTCCGTATGTAGAAGTTATGAATTTTACGCAGACGTTTAACAATATAATCTCCTTGTACTGTTAAATTTAAGATCGGTCAAGAATTAGCCAACGGAGTCAAAATGAAAGTTGTAGATATTATTTTTACCTACACGTGGATATAAAGAACGTCAAAAACGGAGGTCGTATGTGAAAGTTACGGATTTTAGAAGTCGGAAGTGTGTTGTGCGAAAATGGGTGATGTAGCACAATCTTGGCCATTGCTTTCTCCCCAAGTCTTGCCACTAGATGGTGACATGTGGCACCAAGTTCAGTCATTTTCACCTTATAAATAGAACCTCTCCCACCCTCATTTTCTTCACACCTTTCTCATTCTTTCTTCTCTTTACTCTCTCTCTATAACCTCTCTTTAGCCCCGAAAAGCCTAGGGAACCTCCCTAGCACGAGGCGGAAGCCCGTAAGTGCTCGACGGCTCCGAGAAGAAGAGCTTTTCCGCACGGGAATGCTGCTCCAAGCAAAGTCTGATTTTCTATAAAACCTGCTGTAAGTGAGCTACACATACGCTATTTTTAATATAGTTTTTATTTAATTATATTAACGTTATTAAGAACATATAATAAGTAATTGAGCTATTATTATGGGTTATATAAGTATTATTTAACGGTTATATAATAGTAATAATAGTTGTACTATTAATTAGTCTCGGTGAATAATAGACTAAACTCTAGTGGTAATAATACTAGGTTTCGTCGAAGGAAATTATTTTTTTCAAGAAGTGAAGCGTTGTTTGAGTTTGGAATCACCATCTTTTCAAGTGAGTGCATAGTTACTTTCATCTTACACATAGATATGAAGTATTTTATATAAACTACGTGCTATGTGTGCATGTTATCTGTATACTTGTTGTCTATGTTGGATGAACGTTTTTATACATGTTTTAGATGATTTAAATTGTATACGTATTTTATATACACGAATATGTTGGGTATGATACGGGTAGATGAATGATGAGAGATAAAAGATGATGTGAGTAAACATTGACAGCTATAGACTTAGTGCATAACTAATAAACATCGGCAACTATGGACTTAATGCCTATTGGACAAACACCGGTAGTTATGGATTTAGTACCTGTTAAGGAATTGGTAGCTATGGACTTAGTACCTATTCGATAAACACTGGTAGCTATGGATTTAGTACCCGATGAATAGACTATAGCAGCTATGGAATTAGTGCTTTATGAACGAACATTGGCAGCTATGGATTTAGTGCTAGTCCTATAACCCTGAAAGTAAGGGACTTCGGAATAAACGAATGCATAATAGATGACTCTTAAGATAGATCCTTAAGAGTAAAGAAGATAATGGGGATGGGTAATTGGGTTGATTGTTTGATTGTTTAAACATAATAATTATATTATTGTGGGTTGAAAACCCTATGTACTCACCAGGTTTCCCAACCTGACTCACTAAGTTTATTTATATCACAAGTGTTGATATGAAGTCACATTACACTGAGAGATTAAAGAGATTTAGATCACTAGTGTAAATAAATGTAAGTTCTGTTTATGCTTATTTTCCTGTATTGACGATGACATCCCAAACGTTTTAAAATGAATAAAATACGTTTCTTTGAAAATGTTTTAATAATGTATTTATCGTGTTTTTCTGGGAACGAATTTCGCAACATTTTTATTAAAAGAAGAACTCTAATTTTTATAAAGCATAAACAAAATCGGTCTTTTCTGACCGTGAAAATGAGGATGTCACATTTTCCAACTCACTAACCCTAAATTTCTTCACTAAATATCACATAACAAGGATACATTGGCCATTTAACTTGGTCCAAAATAGTTGGTCCATAAACTTAAGTTACTAAAGCAATTTCAAGCTTACTAGAGTCGTCTCAAACTCACTAGAGTTGTCTCGAGCTTACTAGATAGACCACTTAGGTTGACCATTAAAAATTCTCCACCTTGAACAACATTTGATAGACCTTAAGTTTTGGACGATACACCAAAGAAGAAATTGCACAATCTTGAAATGTAAAACTCAACCTGGATGCACCATTTGACCATGGTGTCCTACGTACCCTCATTTGAGATCAAGCCACCATAGTTCACTTGACTAGGTGATAACTCCACCTCACCCTGACACTGCCCTATAAGGTCATTGGCCTTAAGGGCAATCAACACTGATAAAATATTAAGCAACTTCAAGCAATGCTTAAACTTGCCACATGATACCACCTTGGTTAACATGTTTATCGGGCTCTCCTCTGTATGCACCTTCATAAAAGATATATCACCATCCTATATGACATCCCGCACAAAATGATATATGACATTTGTATGTTTGGTACGTGCATGATAAACTTGATTATTAGCTAAGTGAATTGCACTTTGACTATCACACCACAAGTCTACACAATCTTGCTTAAACCTTAAATCATATTAAAAAAAACCAACAACCACGGTGCTTCCTTTTACACCCTCTGTTATAGTTATGTACTCATCATCTACAGTAGAAAGTGTCAATGTTGCTGGTCGTATCGATCACCAACTAACTGGAGAACCATTGAACACATAACCAACTATAGATAGACATCTATCCAGATCACCAGCGTGATATGAGTCCAAAAATTCAATAATTCGACATGTATTTCCACCAAAGCATAAACCAATATCAGTGGTTCCTATCAAATACCTCAAGACCCATTTCACAGCTTCCCAATGTGCCTTCCCTGGGTTCTCCATGAACCTACTCACCACACTAACCGCTTGAGAAATATCAGGATGTGTACATACCATGCCATAGATCAAACTGTCGACTGCATTGGCATAAGGCACACACTCCATGAATGTATTATCTTTCGTTGTAGTGGGAGATTGTCTATTAGAGAGCTTAAATGCGGTGCCAATGGATTCAACACTGACTTGGCATCTTGCATCCCGAACCTCGCAATAACCTGCTCAATGTGGCCTTTATGGCTCAAGAACAATTAATGGTTCGACCTTTCTCTTTTAATCTCCATACCCAATATTCTCTTGGCAATTCCCATGTTCTTCATCTCAAACGCTTTACCATGTTGAGATTTTAGTCTATCTGTCTCCACCTTGCTCTTCGAAGTAATAAGCATGTCATCCACATATAAAAGAAGATAAATATTAATCACCTCCATGAAGCTTCCGCATGTAAACACAACAATCATACAAACTTCTGGAGAACCCATGCTTCAACATGAAACAGTCAAATCACTTGTTCCACTGTCGAGGAGATTGCTTCAATCCATATAGTGATTTCCTTAAGCGACATACTTGACTTTCCTTATCAAGAACCTTGAATCCCTCAAGTTGATGCATATAAATTTCCTCGTCCATTTCTCCATGCAAGAAAACAATTTTTACATCGAGTTGTTCTAACTCCAAATCACCCGAGCAACAATACTCAACAACACCCAGATGAAAGTGTGTTTCACTACCGGATAAAATATATATCATTATAGTCTACTCACTACTTTTGTGCATACCCTTTTGCTACCAGTCTTGCCTCGTACCTTATATCACCGAGTTCGGAAGGATCCTATTTGTTCTTGTATACCCACTTACAACTAATAGCTTTCTTCCCCGTGTACAATGAGACCACCTCCTAAGTTTGGTTCTTCCAAAGAGACCCCATCCTTTCTTCCATTGTAGCCAACTAACTCTTATTATTGCCATTTTGAATAGCTTCCTCGAAGGATATCGACTCATCATCCTCCATCGAGAGTGCATACTCAACCAAACTTGGTTGCCCGTAATGCTTCAAGGGTTGATCAGACCACAACTTATGAAATTTCTTATATGCTCGCCTCGACCTAGTAGAGACTGAATTGTCCTCGAGCTCTTGTTTTTCTGGTTTGTGTACATGTATTGCTGAATCATCTCATGTTCAATATCATCATGAAAACCACCATGATCTTCCTCGTGAACATGACTAGAACCTTGTTATCCTTTAGGTTCTATATCAACTACCTGAGGCTTAACCGTCTCAATGTCATCACCATTTGACATCGTAGCTTTCGAAGAAGCTACATTTGAGTTCTCATCAAAGGTAACATCTCTACTGATTATAAACTTGGAATCTCTCAAACACCAAAGACGATAGCCTTTCACACTTAATGCATATCCAAAGAAAATTGCCTTATTAGCTCTTGCCTCAAGCTTTCCTTCACTAACATGGTAATAGGTTGTGCACCCGAAGATTATGAGTTTCTTATAATCTGCATGTTACCCTGACCATACTTTATAAGGTATATATCCATCTAGAGACACATGAGGAGACCGATTGATAATGTAGTAAGTTGTAGCAACCGACTCTGCCTACCATTCTCCGCCCAAACCAACATATGATCACATACACATTGATCTCTCTCTCAGTGTGCGATTCAACCTCTATGCGACCCCATTTTGCTGTGGTGTTTTCCTGATTGTCCAATATTTAGCAATTTTCTTTTTGAGCATAAAATTCCTTGAAGACACCTAATGTATACTAGTATCGTTATCAGATCAGAGTGTATATGGTACAACTCATCGAAACCTACCAAAAGTTAGTTTATCTATTATGATTATAGGGGTGAGTATTTTAGATTGGACCAGTTTTACATAAATCGATGAACCATGGACTAGAGTTGTTGAGGTCGGTCTAGGTCCGGTTCATAGTCCGATATGATCCAAAGATCCAAATGTTTACCCTTAATCTTACACATGTCACGTGAGATATCATCAAATGAGATAATGAAAAATTGTGAAAAAGCCTAACTGGCTACGAAATGGGCTGTCTATCTAAGAAGGAAAATAAAAAAGAGTTTTAAGATGGTGTTCAATTATTTTGAGATGATATTTTTAAAATCCTTTTTAGGTTAAAACTATAATATCGTTTTTTTTTTCTTTTGCCATCAAAATGGTTTTTAAATATTTTTAACACAAATTACTTAAGAATGATTTTTTTGACATTTTTTTTTTCCCGGTTAGTCTTATGAAATTCTTTGAAATGTTTTTTATTCATTTCTCAAAAATACAAATATCATTTTTTTTTCCTTTTAACTTTTTGTTGTGGGTCAGTCTCCCTTTAATACTTAAATTGACTGAAATTCGATTCCATCGCGTCATCTCCTCTCCCGCCACGTATATTAAAGGGTGCCGACGATACTGTTTCCACAATCTTCGTAAACTCAAGCACCAAATCGCGGCAGCGTCTCGTATTTTCATCGGTCAAAACCCTAATTCTTCTTCATTTATTGATCGAATCGTCAGTTTTCTTGTTTACATTGCATTCTTTCTCCGATTGAAGATCGAGATAACTGTTTTCCTGTTTCAGTCTGAACATGGCTTGATTTTCGATTTATTTGTTCTCAAAAATTTTCCGTCTTCGTTTGCTATATATTTTGTTATATATATTTTTTAATTATCATAACTTATGACATGATTATCATGTTTGATTATTATAACGTCTTAGTCTGGTTAACCATAGTTGATGATTACTAAAATTCTTACTGTGAGTCCGATTCTAATGTACGACACTGAACTTAGATTCTTTTTTTCTTCAGCCACTGAGTTCGAAGTTGCTTATTACTCCTTCTGGTGTTTGGACGTTCATGTAAGGTGATTATCGCACTGACTTGAACTGTTTTTGGGGTTTCATAGAACTTCGTTTCAATTCTGATTAACCGATTCTTTATGTATAAAATCATTACGATTAATGTAAAATTCTCTGAATCTTGCTTTAATCAACTCATTCTCTGATTATGATTCTTTACTCTAAGTATCATCTGATTAGGCACTACTGTTTTACAAACTTTACATGCCTTTTGTTTCTATTTTTGTATGTTTAGGAAGTTCACTGAGGATATGGGGTATAGAAGTAACATTGTTCCAGGAGAGCTTCCTGGCTATGGTGCAATATTCATGTCCAATTCAGGAACAAAAAAAGAGTGTTTCCAACGTAAGTTATTTGGGCTACCTTTAGCTCAGTCTGATTTTGTGTTGCATGTGAAAAAAGGAATGTTTCTATTCCTTTTTGAGTTTGAAAAGAGGCAACTACATGGTGTATTTCGTGCTACCTCTAATGGTGAAATCGACATTGAACCCCATGCATTTAGATCATCACAAAAATCCTTTCCTGCTCAGGTATTGGTTTCTACTTTCTACACTGCTAACAATGCTGCTCTTCATGGTTTATGTGTTCAATATTTTATATATAACTAAGACTTTTATGTTAAGGATAAGGTTACTATTTCATGACTACAAGGTTCACTCACTCACTTGTTTGAGTCATGCAAATAGCTTCTTTTAGAAAATCACAATGTAAAGTGTGTGAATAAAGTAGTATATAGTCATTGATTTTGTAGATGCCATTTATTATGCAGGTGCCCTTTACTTCTGTATGGAATTGCTATCCACTATATGAACATGAATTCAAGGATGCTATTAGAGATAATTACTTCTCATGGAAGAAGTTCAAATTTGGTTTGTCTAAGCATCAGGTATGTCTCTATACTCTTTAACATATATTTATGTTATTCTGCACATGTATATATTCTAGAAATGTTATCATATCTCGTTAATTTTCCTCAATATAAAACTTTTCAGGTAGATGAACTTTTGAGATTATTCCATTCCAAAAGAATATCTAAAAACAACCCTCCCAGAACTTGCTTGAGATATGATGATAACTCAGGAAAGAGAGACTCAAGATATGGTGATAATAGGAAAAAGGTTAGAGAGAGGATGAAATTTATAGAAGAAAAAAATGGTCATGGTTTTGAAATTGATGAAGTTAAAGAAATAGATAATCAGGGCTATAAGACTCTTATGAAGAAAAGAGCACATAAAGATAACAAAGAGGTGCTCTTAACAAATCGTATGAAGGAAATCGATGATTTTGGTGATTGTGGTTATAGGAAGTTAGATAAACGCCTTGATCATACATTAAGGGGATTAAGAAGAGTGAGTGATGAAAGTTTGCATTTTCAGTGTGATATAAATAATGGGAATAAAAACTTTTTGGTAGATTGTATTGCCTACAAAAAGAAATATAGGGATTACAGTAGAGTACAAGATGAATACCATGTTATTGATGATTTCAGTGAAAATCATTCAGCACTGGATAACCTTGGTAATAGCCCTAACAAAGGAACTCAAAAGATTGTTGATGGATGGTTTTTTCCAACAGTAGAAAGTCAACAAAGAAGGTTGACCAATCACCCTAAAGGGGTCACTCTCACTACTGATGTTTGTCAAAACCCTAATTATGAGCCAAGAACACCATCATTTGAACCAAGAAAGGAAGATTTTGGGATAAAACTTTGTTCTGATGAAGAATTTGACTTGAAAAATGCCAACCAAAATCTTTCAGATTTTATCCCTGTTTCAGAAGCATCCAAACATTTTCAAAATCGTTTTGAAGCTAACAATATCGAAAACTCATATGAACGCAAGTTTCTGAATTTAACATCTTGTGATCCTTCAATTTATCCAAGTGAAACAATTCCACCACATTTTAGAAAACCTAGAAGCAAAAAATATGTGCGTAAAGCTAGTGTTTTTGATCACTTAAATTCGGCTCCAAAACCACTAATCCATAAACAAGAACATGAAAGTGATGAAAAAAGTGAGCTAGATGCATCGACAATGTTGGAGAAAGTTGTAAGAGAAGAAAAAGAATCAACTTTTGAACAAGATGATAAGAATGTAGATTATGAGGCTTTAAAGAAGGAATCCGATGTGAAGGTAGAGTGTGAAGGAATAGATATAGTTGAGGAAACAAGGGTTGTGGATTTTAAACGTCGCAAGAGAACAAACAAGAAGAATCTTGATGATGAATTTAAAGAAAATAACACATCAGGGACAGATTCGGATGTGGGGATGTGTTGTAAGCGTAGGAGACTTGTTAGACCAGTTTTTGTTAAAAAAGAGTTGAATGTTTCTAATGATGAAAATGTACCTTTGAAAGATGATTCCTCTTTAAGAAAAGCATGCGAAAGTGTGAAAAAGATTGAAGGTCAGAAACATAATATTGAAAGTTGTTTGCAAGTTGAACAAAATGGAAATGCAATAGATTCGGAAAAACAAGAAGAGATATGGGGCTTTGATGACATGGCGTGGGTAGTTTCGTCTAAATACGAGCACAAGATGTGTGGTTGGATCGATGAGTGATCCTTCATTGTGACAGGAGGGAACTTTAAAAGGTTGATGTGTTTTTGATACTTTATTGTGTTGACCAGAAATGTAAAGTAACCCACTTAGGTCTTAGTTGTTTTAGCTATATGGTAGCTAATCGTTTAAAGTTTCCTCATTTTGAACATGTGTAACATCAAGTTGTTTTTGCTAAATGACTTAGGAGGGTAATATTATCTATTTGTTTTGTTTACATGGGGACAATTTTTTTAATACAGTTGACCAACAAACTTTTTAATACAGTCAACTTTACACTCCCAATTTACTTTAGAACATCTAGAACATGATCATGTTAAATCCCTAAACTAAAAAAAAAAACCCGATTACCGTATGAATAGGGTAAGAGGAAGGTTAGGACTCATGCAAGACTCTACCAAGAGGGGATGTTTCCATCGATGGCATTCAACGTAAAATAAAAATAAAGAAAATAAATAAAAAGAATAAAGATAATAATGCGTTTGAATGGTCTCCTATACAGCCAACAAATTACATCAACATTAGCTCAAGCCGTGAGAATGATGTAGGGGAGAAGGTGATAAGAAGGCTCATACCGCATGAAAATCATGTATATAAAAACGTCACCACACAAGTTGAGGGAAAAAAAAAAAAAAACAATATAGAGTAACTAAAGGAAAAAAATATATATTTAAGCTTTGAAGTTATAAATAAGAATGAAGATTGTTGAGTAGATACGGTAATGACCATAAATACAACCAAAATCGGATCGGATGCTAACAATGAAATGATATTTTATTCTAATAGTTTCTAGGGAAAATGACTTAAAAACCCAACGAAGTTTCCAAACCATTCAAAAAACCCCAATCATATTTTGTCTGTTCAAAAAAACCCAACGAACTTAACATTTTGTCTAAAAAGTCCAACAAAATTTCAAACCGTTCAGAAAATTCCAATTTTGTTTTGTTTAAGTTCGTTAGTTTTTTTTTTGAACAGTCAAAACATGATTGGAGTTTTTTAAACGTTTTGGAAACTTCGTTGGTCTAACAAGTTATTTTTCCGATACGTTAATAAGCCACGTCATCTGTTTCTCTTATTTGACTTTCAAGAAATTGTAACTTAGTTGGGTTTTTTAGATAAAATGTTAAGTTTGTTGGGTTTTTTTGAACAGACAAAACATGATTGGGGTTTCTTTAACGGTTTGGAAACTTCGTTGGGTTTTTAAGTCATTTTCCCTAGTTTCTATATGACCTTTTCTTGAGCTAAACCGTTTTCGAATCGGATCCAACCAAAATCAGATAAAAAGTTTTCTTTTGCACCTCAGCAAATGATCAACTTACTTATCAAAAGTCCTAGTATAATCTTCTTTTTATTATCTTTGTTAGCTATTTCAATTGTCATCATGAGTAACTTGGTTTTTGATTATCAAACGATTTTACATAAGATAATTGCTATGCCGACACTACTCCATGCCCATCCTCATTCTTGTCAATTACAAAATTAAACCATGGCTTCAATATACTTTTTTAATTAAACCATGGCTTCTATATACATATATTTGTTTGTTTATCTTTGTTTTATGCAAAATACTTTTGTAAATTTATTGACTCATTGTCATGAGATATTCAAAAGGCATGCATAAACAATTTTAGTACGATAAAGAATTGTAAGGCATATTATCAAACACGAGATAAACGAAGCTTTTAACGGAAATTCAGAAAATGTCACGGTCCACCGCCGTCTTAAGAAAATGTTGAGAAAACTCCGATCACGGCGGCGGCCCCGCTACGGCACCCATGTCTGCGCCTTCATCGCAGCCTTCCTCCTACTTCTCTCCGTTTCTATTCTCTACAATCGCCTCAGCACCGATCGCCATTCCCATCATTCCCGACACCATAACTCCAACGAACTAACTTTCGATCCCCTCCTCGAAGAAGCCGACCCTAATGATAGGAACTCCTCCGACGACCGGATCGACGAGCTAGACGATGGCGTACAGGAAGATCCAGATTCTAGGGTTCAGGACGAGGAGGACATTCTCAGAAATCTAGATGCTGACGAAGATGAAAATGATCAGTCTAGGGTTTCAAAATACTACTTCGATCACGTTCAGGGTGTGATTCGACGCTCTTTTGATAAGAGGTCGATCGATCAGTGGGAAGATTATGCTAGTTTCGATTCGAATTGGGATAGTAGTACAACCAGCATTAATCTGGCATTTAGTTCGGACGATGTTGCTTTGGATGATAATGTGAGGAGAAAAGTAGCGGAAGTGAAGGGGATCGAGGATGCACTTCTGTTGACAGTGGGACATAGGGTTTCGCCATTAAGGGAAGGCTGGGGAGATTGGTTTGAAAAGAAGAGCGATTTCTTAAGGCGAGATCGGATGTTCAAATCAAATCTGGAGTTGTTGAATCCTTTAAACAATCCATTTTTACAAGATCCTGATGGGGCTGGAGTTACAGGTCTCACTAAAGGTGATAAGTTGATTCAAAAACGCATCATTCATGAATTCAAGAAGGTACCTTTCAGCAGTAAAAACCCAGACAACCCAGATACAAAATCCAAGGGAACCAACGGACTATCAGAAGAAAGGAAAGGAGGGAATTCGAAGGTTGAAAGTGTCCATGAAGCTAGCAAGGCTGAAACGAAGATTGCAGAGAGGAGAACATTGGATGACAATGGCGATAGCAAAACACAATTTGAATTTTCTGGTCAAATCTATGCAGATGGGAAGAGATGGGGTTACTTTCCAGGTTTGAATCCTCGTCTATCTTTCTCAAACTTCATGGATGCATTCTTTAGAAAAGGAAAGTGCTCAATGAGAGTATTCATGGTATGGAATTCTCCACCATGGATGTTCAGTGTTCGACACCAAAGAAGCCTCGAAAGCCTGCTCTTTCACCATCAAGATGCTTGTGTTGTCTTCTTTTCTGAAACATTAGAGCTCAATTTCTTTGATAGCTTTGTAAAAGACGGGTAACTTCTCAGTTCAAATATCCATTTAAAAAACATTTTCTGATCTCTCTTCTACTTATACATCTCAATTCTTTTGTAGTTTCAAGGTTGCTGTTGCAATGCCAAATCTGGATGAGTTGCTGAAAGATACACCAACACACGAATTCGCCTCTGTTTGGTTTGAATGGAGAAAGACAAAGTTTTATCCTACTCATTACAGTGAACTCATCCGCCTTGCTGCCCTTTACAAGTAAGCAACTTTCATGTCTCCAATTGTTTCTTTTTAGTGCTTCTTCATTACCATTAATGGGTTTTCCTTTTTTTTTTCTTTATCAGATATGGAGGGATCTATCTTGATTCTGACATTAAAGTCCTTAAACCACTTCATTCTCTATCCAATACACTGGGCTTTGAAGATGATTCATCAGCAAGTTCCTTAAATGGAGCAGTTATGGCATTTAGAAAGCACAGGTAACAAATTAACAAAATGTCAAAATTGACTGAATATTTTAGTTCTTATATTTGATAATGTTTTGGAAATTATTGTATACAGTCCGTTTATAATGGAGTGTTTGAAGGAGCTCTATGCAAGTTATGATGAAACCAGTTTAAGGTGGAATGGAGCTGATCTTTTAAGCAGAGTAAGAACAAAGTTTCTACATGAAGAAAATCGTGTCAAGAATCAAAAGGAACTGAATCTTCAACCATATTCAGCTTTCTTCCCTATAAGTCGTAACAATATTACAAGGTATGTATGTGTGTGTGTGTTTACTTATTATATTTCTTCATTTTACATGCAGTTTGATACTTGTTATTTTTTGGTTTATGAAATAGATATTTCAGAGCACCTACAACGGATGTTGAAAGATTTGATGAAGAGGCTTTGTATAAAAAGATTGTTAATGAGTCATTTGCATTTCATTTGTGGAACAGTTTAACACATTCTTTAGTTCCAGATCCTGAAAGCCTTGTAGCTAGGCTTATCAATCAACACTGTATTCGTTGCTCTGATGTGTTGTAAATTTAGAATCCCTTATTATTATATATGTAGATGGGGATTCACAGAGTGTAAATTATTTTTGTTAGAAGAGCTTATAATTGTATGATTGTGTTTTTTTTTTTTTTTTTTTTCTTTCCCAAATGAACACTGTTTGATAAATTACTAAAGAAGATTGTATAATGATTTAAAGTTTCTTGGAATCTTGTGTAAGAGAAAATTCATGGTAAAACTGTTGAAAGACCACATTTCCAAACTTAGTACAATTCCTAGCTTTTGTTAATATTGTTAATCTATTTAGGCCTATAAATACATGAAACGTTTTACCATTTTGCAATCAAGCAAACAAAATCATCATGAAACTGTAGAAGCGTTCTTAGAATTTTATTTTCAATCGTTCTTACTTCCTCTCGGACTTCCATTATGATTTTTCCCCTACCAAGTATACGTGGACATAGAAGTTTAGTAGGTTATAAGAAACCACTTAATTTAGGCATGATGGTTTTAAGCTATAGATAAACTAATGTCTCCCATTTCGTATCAAATGAAGCATGAAGCCATATCTAATAAAGGTGCATCGTTTTTCCTACCTTCGGTACACTGTTGCAATCCCAAATCTAAACAAATGAAATTATTATCATGATCTAGAATAAGGTTGTGTTTATTTTTTGGCGAAAGGTCGTTTTAACCTTTTATGTTTGCGGGAGGAAGGACATTTGCGGAAAAGACTATTTCTTTTTCAAAAGACAAAAAACATAAAAAAAAAAAGTTGTTATTTTTTTCTAGAAGACGCAAAAACTTATGATTTTGGAAGAAGTTTCCTAAATTCTAACCCTAATGTGACATTTCTTTTTCCATCGCCACCGCTGCCAACCAACACCAGCACCACCATCGCCGCCATCACCAACACCACCCATCTTTTTTTATGAAAACTTTAAAAAACAAACAATTTTTTATGAAGACTAGAGATATCGAAAACGCCTTTTGGTCTGAGGTAAATGTAACAATTGAGTCTGCCTAGTGGTGCACAAACCATTTTTTTTTTCAAACCGATCCGGTTCTTAGAACC